GGCTTTCTTCTAAGGCGGGGCCCTCCTGACCGAATCACCCCCCAAAGGCCCTTGTCTGGTGACATTACCACATTGCAGTTAAGTTTCAACACACAAGCCTGGGGGACCTTCCGACCTCACACGGCCTTACCCTGCCTCGGCCTTTTCTCCACAGCGGCCACCACGCCTGCACACCAAGCCGTCCCAGGCCCCCGCCGTGGAGGTGGCGCCTGCCGGAGCTTCCTACAACCCGTCGTTTGAAGACCACCAGGTACACCACCCCGACCAGGCCTCCCTCCTCAGCGGGCTCTGCCTCTCGGTCAGGGCTTCACTGGCTGCCTCCCTGTGCTGGGTGGTGCTGGGAACTCCAGAGTGACCCAGACAGCCCTGGACCTATCCTCACGGGGCTCATGGCTCAGTGCAAGAGACCTGTTCCCAGATAATGATGAGCAGAGTGGTTGGGGCTGGGAGCCCAGACGGGGCACCTGGCCCAGCCTGGGGGGTCAGGAAGGGCTCCCTGGAGGAGGGGACGCCTGAGCCAAGGCAGAGGCAGAGGCTGAGGGAGGGGTTTGCAATGGGAGGAGGGGAGTGAGTTTTCCAGGTGGCGGGAACAAAAGGTACAGAGGTGAGGTGAGACCATGGCGCCTTCCAGGAAGCCTGTGGGACAGAGATGCAAAAGGCTGTGGTGACTCGGTGGCACACTGGAAGCCAAGTGACAGTTATTCACGGGCGAGGCTAGCTCAGCGATGGGGAAGTCTGGCTGGAGCCACTGTGCGTTTAGCCAGCATCTGTTGGGCACAGATACTGTGGACAAAGGGTACGAAAACCCCTCGCCTGGCCGGATGCAGTGCCTCACACCTGTAATCCCAGCACTCTGGGAGGCTGAGGCCGGCAGATCATTTGAGGTCAGGAGTTCGAGATCAGCCTGACCAACATGGTGAAACCCCGTCTCCACTAAATACAGAAAATGAGCAGGGCGTGGCAGCGTATGCCTGTGGTCCCACCTACTTGGGAGGCTGAGGTGGGAGGATTGCTTGCGCCCCAGGAGGTCCAGGCTGCAGTAAGCTATGATGGCACCACGGCACTCCAGCCTGTGTAACAGAGCGAGACTCTCAACCACCACAACCCTCCCTCGAGGAACACCCGTTCTCCTGGGATCACGTGACCGGGGAGATGCTGAGATGTTCGCGGTAGAGGCAGGATGCTTGCCCTAATCGTTTTCAGCTTCATGAGAAGGAGATAGCCAGGAACAGAGGCAGCTTCCTCGTCTGGTAGAGAAAAGCGTCTGCGGAAAAAAGCAACAGTGTGCTCACGTTTGAAAGGACGAGGGTGCCGCTCACTGCCATCTGTTCCTGGACCAGATGTGGGAGGGGGCGTGGAGATCAGACATTCGCTTTTAGATTGTACCTGCTCTGGCTCTGTGCAGGGTGGGGTGTGCTGGTAGACGGGGCGTGGGGAGGAAAGCCTGGGCTGGGGTGAGATCCGTGGGCAC